GCTGTGCCTCTCAAACAATTAATTCCCAAAGGTCAGGATGCACTTTTCAACAGCTCTCACCCTCTCAGTGTGCTCATCCTGGTGCCCAAATCTTATCCCCTGGAAGTGCCCACAGCTCCAGCAGCTCCTTCCCAGCACCCCAGGTGCCTCCTTCTCCCTGCAATTGCCACAAGGCTCTGTCACCTTCAGACACCACACGTGGAAATGAGGGAAATGGGACATGGCAGGCTGGCTCTGCCAGGTACCTGAACCACTGCTGGTCATCAGAAGCTGTCAGGGGATGCCCAGCTGGCCAAAGCCGGGCGGGATTCCAACGGCCGCACACCTCACACTTTCCAGACAGTGAGCCCACGCCTTCCAGATGCATGGGAAACTCCAAGGACAACCTGTGGGCAAAAGGACTCTGCCACAGTGGCAGCAGAACATTCCTGGCAGGATCAGTCATGATACAAGAGCAGTTTGCTGAATGTCAGATCCAGGAGAGCCGGATACAGCGTGCCTCCCTCGGGTAGCAGATTTCAACAGTAAATCCAATTTTGTTTGACATTAATCCCAACTTTTCAGCCCGCCACAGATTATCCTTCTGGTGACGGCTCACCACGCAGGAAGAGCAGGGATGGAAAAGCTTTTTCCTGGTTGTCTTTCCAAAGGACCTCTCTGAGGGAGCATCGACACCTGGCTAAGCGCCAGAGCCGGCCGTGGGTCACATGCAGGGGACAGGTTTCTGTTCCATTTCTGGCACCCACATCACTGATGGCTCCCAGTGACCAGGTCACATTAAATCCAACTGGGAAATCTCAAATTGGTTCTTCAGCAGAAATCCCAGGCCCACAGCAGCTCACAAATGTACATCTCCCTGGATTAGCTCCTTCCTCCCCTTGGGAGGAAAATTCCCAGATGAATTAACTGATGAAGTTTCTTTTCTCTCACTGTGGTTTCCTTTTTCAGGAATTCTCTTGGTTTGATCTGCTTCTCCAGGTCTGTGCTTCCAGCAGCTCCCTGTGAGAAGCTGTGCTGGCAAGGCTGGGAGCAGGAAGCAAAAGCCAGGATCCTCTAGCAAAATCCCTAACGCTAGGAAGAAATTTAATCAGGAATTTAAGAGCAGGTGTGATGCCAGCAGGGCTGCAAGGGGACAGGAACTGAGCAGCCCCAGCCCATGATGGGACCATCTCAATTTCCTGCTCAAGGTGACCTGGGAGTGAAAGATGCTGCAAATTTTCAGAAAGATGCAGCCGGGGTCCAATGGATTATCCAAGGACTATGGATGCAGTTCTGCCACATCCAGCTAATGTGCACAAGCCACACGTGCCCCTCACTCCCTTCTCTGTAATTAGGAGCTAATTCCATATCAGACATTACTCTTTCCTTCTGCCCATTTTGTTCCCAGAGCTCATCCCCTCCCTCTCCAGGTGTGCAAGGCCACAGCCCCAGAAAGCAGCAGAACATTTCAACACGGAATGGAAATCATGAAAGACGAGGAGGAACCTGCAGGACAGCTCCAGAGGAGCCATGGCTCAGGACTGTGTGGGAGTGGCTGTGTCACCACCCAGGGCCACAGGAGCTGTTCCCCCCGAGGATGAGTGTGCAGGAGCCCCTGCACGTGCCTCTGCCTTTGGCCTTGCACCCCCAGGCCCTGTCACCGGCTGGGAGCACCCCTGAACAGCTCTCACCTGCATGTGGCTGCAGACACTCCCACCAGGTACTCCTGATCCCATTATCCTGCTCCTCATTGCTCCTCCAGCAGGTTATTTGACTCCTGTCTGCTCTTCTCCCACTTGGAACTCTTTTGGCCATTTGGGATATCTGTGTAGATGGCTTGGCCATTGGACCTGTCCTCAGGGTGCATGTGACACGGGGTGTCACATGGGTCCACGGGGCTGTGACACTCAGCTGGCAGAAGCTGGAGGAGACAGCGTTCCAAGCGAGATCCTTTTCCAAAGCAACATTCCCAAATGCTTCCTTCAGGGTTCCTAAAGCCTAGCTGAAACAAGATTGCCACCACCACCTGCCCTGCTTGGACAGCAGAGACTCAAATACTCCACTGACAGCGGCTGTCAAGAGCAGACTTGAGAAAAGTCAGTCAGTCCCTGCCTATCCTGTTGCCACTTGCTCTATTTCCATGGAAAGCCCAAAAGATTGCTTATCCAACAACCCTGCGCACCCACATCTGCTACCAAGCACTCCTAACTCCTTCAACCACCAGGTCCAGGAGGGAAGTTCATGCAGGAATGGGAAGAACAGTCCAGCACTGGTTTGTTTTCTAAATCAATACGATTTTTCAAATTTATTTTTTAAGAATTACTTCTAATATATCTTTCTCACAGAAGGAGGGAATAGGGAATGTTCTCATTCCATCTGTAAACAATGAAATACAGATCTGGGAGACCAGGGAAGAGACACAAAAAAGTGCATTTTACAAAATTATCAACTAAAATATATTTTACATGTATTACGCTTCAATTTAAATTCTACCGACTGCATTTTTCAGTTTCAAAAAATATTTCCATATCTAATAGATTAAAAAAGCAGGAAATCTTTTCATTAGGGATAAGACATTTCAGTTCATTTACATGCTGTTTGCACAACAGCATCAGCAACCACGTGAACCTCAATGTTCATGGCCTGAAGCAGATTCAACATGAGAAGAGTCGGGTTTGTCCTCTCCAGAGCTGGACCGGAGCCCGTTATGGACCCAGGACAAGGAGAACTTCCCTGCTACCTGGAGAGGAGCCAGGACAAGGTGGGAGCAGGGGGAGATGGGGCAGAAGGAGGAATTTCGGTGAGTTACTGTGGTTCCAAGGCTGGGTCTCACACCTGGGCCCAGCTGCAGCAGTGCTCAGGCTCACCTGGCTGGTGGGTCTTGCAGCATTCCATGTCCAAAGCACTGCCAGGGAGAAATGGCCACAGCAGCTCTCCTGCTTCAGGTTCAGGGACAAAGGAGTCCCCATGAAGCCAAACACGTGGATTTGGGTCTTCCCATCACCTTTCACTCGCTGTGGGGTGCAGCTGCTGCACTCCCCCCATGGCTGGGCAGCTGCCATTCCCTCTGTGTCATGGGCAAGAGCAGCTCCACTTGTCCAGCATCCTCCCTCCCTGCTACAGGGGACAACCACTTCATATCCTCCCCCAAAAGCATCAGAGACCACAATCTCCAATGCCTCTTTGCACCCCTTCATCCAAGTGTCCCCACAGTGCCACCACTTCCCAACCCAACACAGCCCCACCACATCATTCCAAGAGACCCCCAGTGCCAAGCGAATTGTTCAGGATAGATCTGGGCAATCCCTTTGACACCAACAGTATCTTGAGGTATAAGTGAGAGAAGATGCTTCACCTGACAATTCTTGCTTGCACACCTGGGATCCCCCTTCTTGGAGCTGGGTGTTCTCCCTGGGCTACGCAGATGAGAATAAACAGGAGTTTTCCAGCAGGAATCATCCACCAGCTGCAGGGAGATGCCCGCCCGCTGCGGTGGGTGCCAGACCTTGTCATGGCCTCAAGCCATCACCTCCGGACACGTTCCCCTCTTTGGTATGTAGAGCAAATCTCTGGAGAACTCCTGTGTGCCTGAACTATTCCATGTAAAGAACTGGATGCCATGGGCTTTCTCTCCAGGCCAGGCAGGTGTGCGGCCACTGGAGCAAGGTGACAAGCCCTGCGTCCCCAGGGAGTACAGGGAATGCTGCTTCCACTGATAGGACGTTAAAGCAGAATGGACGCTTCCACTGTGGAACACAAGTTCAGAAGCCCCAAAAGACTGGGAAAACGCAGATCCCTCGTTTCGGTGAGCGGCTCCGGCCAGCAAGAATGTGGGTGGCACAGGGTCAGTTCTGCTGTAAGTTAGTGCAATCTCGGGCTGGGCTCCCAGCCTGGTGCAGTGACTCCCCAGGATGTGACACTGTCCTTTGGTTTGCTTTGGGATTAACTCCAAGTTAGCATTGAGATAAGCTAAGGTCTGTCTGGGATCTAAGGTCTGTCTGGGATCTGTACAGGTAAGGCAAGAGGCAGGACCTGCGGGGCTCGCACGGTCCACGCGAACCTTTCCCGATGCTCAGGTCCTTTCAGGAGCCACAAAGCCACTTTGGTGAGCTTGCTTGGACACCGGGATGAGTTTGGAGGAGAAGACGCTGCTGATGGCTTCAACAGCACTCCCAGGATCAGGACAGTCACATGGGGAAGGGATTTTAAAAAGCCAAAAACACGCAAGAAAAGGGTTTGCCACTTCCCCCTCTGGAAGTTTGGCTTCTTCCCACTGCAGATACACGGGGATAAGCAGGGTCTGTAAATGACATTACAGGAAACAAACTGGGAAGAAAGAGAAAATCCAGGGCCCCCTGAGCCATCAGAGGAAGAGCAACACTCAGAAGAGAAGAGGAAACATGGTTCTCCCTAGCAGAGCCCACTTTGTGAGCTCCAAGCTTCCAAGCGACAAGTGCCGGTGAGTACTGAGCCTTGGGAATGGGGCATAAAATCCTGTGGGCTCGGTCAGGACACCTGGGACAGGACCAGCTCTAACCCTACACTGCAGTGTGACACTTGCCACCTTGCCAGCTCCCTCTGCTCCACCACGGAGCAGGCTCCAAGCCCCAGCCAAGGTGGTGAACCACAGAGCAGCGAGGTGAGGGGAGGGAAAAGACAGGGGAGAACAGGGGTCACCTCTTCCCCTGGTGGAGCAACACCTATCCAAGCATGACACAAGGCCACTCTGCACCCAGGCAGCTCCCAAAGCTGTATTTTGAAACTCTCACCGTGGGAATCCTCAGAGTCTGTCCTGCGGGACCAAGGAGACTCTCCTGTGCTCTGCCAAGAACTGTGCTCAGTTCAGGGTCTGAAAACCACCGACTGTCCCACCGCACTGACACATCCTTCCTGCACCTTCGTGCCATTCCCCCAGCCATGGCTCTGCACTGCTTCCTGGCTTTTATCCCCTGCAAACCCTCCCAATAGATGCAGCTCTACATACATATATAGATATAGATTTACTTATGCAAATCCCTATATCTATATACATATATTTATTTTTTACGTATATATTTTCATTTATGTTTTTAATGAAGTGCTGTGCTTTCAACTGCTGCCTCCCCCTCCACGGGCTTCGCTCCTCGCACGCTCCCGAGTCCCAGGGCGGAGCGCTGGGCGCTCCCACCTGCAGCAGCATGAGGTGGGTGAGAGTGCACAGGTGTCCCCAAGGCCGTGGGCGCTCCGGTGCCGCCCGCTCCCGCCGCGCTCCGACCCAGGGCTGTGCTACTGCGGGTTCTTCAGGATGCGCCCGTGCCTGAAGTCGTAGACGTGACGACAGAGGAAAACCAGCTCGGGGTCCGTGTCCTCGGGCACCTTGCGGTGCAGAGGGGTGGAATACTCCTCCGAGGGAGGAACCATGATGGTTTTCCTGCCCGGGATCCCTTCGACTCGACGCTTTGCCAAGGCACAAAATCTGCAGGGCAATCACATCGGAAGAGTTACCAAAGGATCCTGGAATGCTTTGGATTGGAAGGGACTTTAAGGCTCATCCAGTGCCACCCCTGAGACTCGACGCTTTGCCAAGGCACAAAATCTGCAGGGCAATCACATCGGAAGAGTTACCAGAGGATCCTGGAATGCTTTAGGTTGGAAGGGACTTTAAGGCTCATCCAGTGCCACCCCTGACATGGGCAGGAACCTTTCACTAGGTTCCACCTTCCACTAGTCCCAGTTTCTCCAAGCTCCATCCAACCTGGCTTTGGACCCTTCCAGAGATGGGGCAGCCAGAGCTTCTCTGAGCCAGGGCCTCATCACCCTCATAGGGAAGAATTTATTCCTAATATCCCATCTAACCCTGCTCTTTGGCAGTGTGAAGCCATTCTCCCTTGTCCTGGCACTCCACACCCTTGTAAACAGTCTTTCTCCATTTTTCCTGTAGGCTCCCTTGAGGTACTGGAAGGGGAAATTAGGTCACTCCAAAGCCTTCATTTTTTCAGGATGAACAATCCCTATTCTCTCAGCCTTTCCTCATAGGAGAGGTGCTCCATCCCTCTGATCAACCTGATGGCCTCCTCTGGACTCGCTCCAACAGGTCCGTGTCCTTCCTGTGCTGGGGACCATGAACTCATTCCCTCTCCTGCTGCCTGTGTCCTGCTGGGAGCCACAACTGCAGCTGCTGGAGGATAAGGGGAAGGGAAGGAATGTGGACAAAGCTTTGTTCAAAGAGAACTCCTGCAGGAAGCAACACAAGTTTGCATTTCCATAACGGGTGAATATTGTACAGCACCAAAGATCATAGCGATTAAAAAAAAAAGTTTTAAAACCTTATTTTTACTGCTTTGGCCTCATTTTTGCTAATTAGCCCCTAATAAATGCTTATGAACTAATGTTTAGGAAAACAAAGAATTCAGGATACCTTCAGGGAACATCTCTCAAAGGTGACCTGACCCACAAGAGCATGAAAGAATTCCTGCCAGTAGCTGTTCCAGAAGACTGGGGTGCTAGAATGGAAAGGAACTGCTTTGATCCAAAGCTTGGGGATGGGGGAATTTGTTTGGTTGGCTTTGTTTGTTTGGTTATTCTTGGGGTTAGGTTGGTTTTTTTTGTTTGTTTGTTTGTGATTTTTTAGTCTTCTCAAAAGAAAGATCAAAATTCAGTTTCTAAAGAGTTTGTACGCTAGTTTGTTTTTAGAAATTCCAAGAGCAGAGCCCTGGGCAAGGAGCAGGCTGAGGAGGAGTCTCAGGCATCCCTTCCATGGCAGGGCTGCATAAACCACAAGATGCACCCAACAGAACTGAAGATTTAAAGCACTAGTTTGCATGGTGGGTTTGTGCCCATTCAATCCCTATTTTCCTTTAGCCCTGTGTATCCATCACAGGATGGCAGGCTGGATGCTGGGAAGTTCTTACTGACAAAGCTGCAATTCAATCAGCAAGAGCTCAACTATAGCAGCCTGAGTCACTGCTCCAAGGGGTGCTGCTGCCAAAACTTCAGGATCTGGTGTCCAGCATAAACACTGGCACAGGTATCAGCAGGTTTTTGGGTAGTCTGGCACCTGTGTCCCACAAGGGATGGATATACAGGATCTCTTCCTAGCTCACTTAGTTTTTAGCTCCAAGTTCCATGTTTTTCTGTACAGCTGTTCCTATCTTCCTTGAAAGCACGTGCAGTGGTCATACAAGCATGCCTACTTGGGAGTCCCTTGAGAGGAGCACAAGAGGCTGGGGAAGAGTTTGGAGCACCAGGAGTAACTGAGGAAACCGGGGGGGGGATCCAGCCTGGAGAAAAGGAGGCTCAGGGGGGACCTCTGGCTCTCCACAACTCCCTGACAGGAGGGTGCAGCCAGAGGCTATCAGGCTCTGCTCGGGGGGGGGATCCAGCCTGGAGAAAAGGAGGCTCAGGGGGGACCTCTGGCTCTCCACAACTCCCTGAAAGGGGGGTGCAGCCAGAGGCTGTCAGGCTCTGCTCCCAGGGAACAAGGCACAGGTTGAGAGGACGCAGCCTCAAGTTGCACCAGGGGAGATTTAGGTTGGATATTGGGAAAACTTCTTCAGGGAAAGGGTGGTCAGGGCTTGGAACAGGCTGTGGTGGAGCCACCATCCCTGGAGGGATTTAAAAGCTGTGTGAATGTGGCACTTGGGGACGGGGGTTACTGGTGGCTTTGGCAGCTCCAGGAGAATAGCTGGACTCTATGATCTTAAGGGTCGTTTCCAACCCAAAAGATTCCATGATTCTACACAATCCAGACATGGAATGGATCTGGAGCAGGAGAAGCCTGCAGCAGAGCAAGGGTCACTACCGCAGCTCCAGCCACACCACAGCCCGCAGGGCTGGGACAGCTGGGCTGGCTGGAACGGGCAGGATGAGGGAGGCTGGAGGCAGGGGGAGCTTTGGGAAGTGCAGCAGGTTCAGAGCTCCACCTACCTGCAGTACTCTGCGAAGGTCAGCACGTAGCACTTCTCCTCGATGCAGGCGACGCTGTTCTCGTCCTGGTGCCGCGACGCGAAGATCTCGTTCTGTGCCAGGAGGGGAGGGGACAGGTCACCCACTGGAGCCCCGGCCAGCTCCACACCCTCAGCCGGCCAGAGAGGGAATGGTGAGCTCTGCATCTCCACCCATCACCTCCACGCGGAGTGACCAAAGCATGCCCACGGTGAGTATTCCTCAGAGCCAGCGTCCCACATAACCCAGGCACCTGCCGTGTGCTCTGTGCACCAGTTTCATCCAGCAACAGTGAGCAAAGCACCGTCTCTCCCACCATCTCACCCTGGCCAGCACATTTGGTGAGACTAAGTGCTCCAATATCCCATGAATTTCCAATGTCACAAAGCTCTTCAGCAGCAAGGCCATGGCTGGCTGCACCCCTGGGTCTCCCCTTTCCTGCTGGATTCTCTAATCCATCTTTATATCAAAACTTAAAGACACCCTTCTTGTCCAATCATTTCCTCTTCCTAATTAAATTTACCAAGAGAAGTAGCAAAGCTTTTTCCAGAATCATGGAACAGAATCTTGCTATGGTTTGGGTTGGTAGGGACCTTAAGGATTATCTCATTCCACTGCCTGCCATGGCCAGGGACACCTTCCACTAGACCAGGTTGCTTCAAGCCCCATCCAACTTGGCCTGGAACACATCCAAGGAGGAGCAGCCACAAGCTCTATTGGCAAACTTCTCTTCACTTTTTCCCAGAGTAATTTAGGGAATTTGGCTCTGCAGCAGGCAGGATTGGTTATACACAGGGTAACCCAGACAGAGCCACTGAGAAGAATTTCAGGTATGGTTAGATCAGCAGAGATGATCTCTGGGAACATGGGTGCCTTGAACAAGTCTGGAAGCATTCCCTGAAGGCTCCATTTCTGCTTTGCTGGAAGGGAAAACTCACAAAAGGGTGAACATTTGGGGACAGGGTTGATCAGGGACACTGGGAATGCCACACCTGCCTTCTGCACCTTGGGGTTCTGGTTTATTCCTTGAGTCAAAACTACCTGAGTCACCCTGGCAAGCCTGGCCCAGCCCTCAGCCCAAGCCCTCTCTTGTTTGAAGAATTGTGTAATTTAAATGGGTTTGCAAAAACCTGGCTTAATTGCTCCTGGCATTCTCCCTGGACTGAAATGCAACTGGATACACTCACTTTTCATTTACAAAGTACCACATTTTGGTTTAGAAACTCACCTGTAGCCTGCAAACGAGGCAGTTACAATTCCCTGGCTGCTCCCAAGTCCTGCTCTCAAACCCTCCCTCCCTTTTTATTTAAAAAAGTAATAGAGATTAAGAAAGCACCAAGTTTTGAAAATTGGGTTGAACACAGCAGTGAATTCTTCATTCCCAGTTAAAACCAGCTTGTTCTGTCACCCAACACAAGCCCATGCAAAGCAGAGCAAGGCGTGAAGTCACAGTGATTCACACGTTTTTCCTTTAAAAAGCAACTCCCTTGTCCTGGCACAGCATCCTCAAGCCAGACTTTAGTTCTCATAATAAATCTATGCAGGGCAAGGATGATGCATCCACGTTTCTGTACAAAACTAACACGTTTTTGGAGTTTAAGAAGCAGATTAAGGGATTTATTAAAAGGCAGCCCATGACACAGGCACTTCAGTTTCCTGCAAAATGGCAGCAGGAGCTTTTGCATCAGGCTCTGCAGTCCTGTAGGAATTAGAATTTGCTTTTGGAAAGGTGTCTGATCTTGATTCAGTATAAACTTGTTCTTAAGGTAACAGTCAAAATTACTTTTTACTTAACATGTGGAATTTTCTCAGATTAAAGGGACAAACATCAGCACTCAGCAGTTTCTGTTAAGAGCCTCCATGTAAGGAACTCAGCAGCTTTTTTAAGAGCCCAGATTTTCTCCACAGGACAATAAATCTGGGGGAAAAGCCTAGCTATAGGACACCACAACTCAACACATCTGGCAACAGCTGCATCACAGCCAAGAGCGCTCTGCTGTACTCAGCTTGAGGCCACCCAGGAATGCAGGGAGATGCTGGGGCAGTGCCCTCCTCCTGCAGGAGCTCAGAGAGCCCGGGATGCCCTGCCCCGACCTGCCTGGTGCATGCTGGGGTTGCGGCCTCCCTGAGTGTGCTCTGGTCTGTAATACCACAGGAGGCTCATCATCAGCTCCCCTGCAACAGCACAGATTAAAACAAGTCAAGCCTCAGCTTTCTCCGAGTGTTTTCCCACTCATTCCCGGCTTCCTCCTGCTGCTCCATCCCCTTCATTCCCACAGTGCTCAGGGAGAGGCAGCTGTGGCTGATAAATATTTCATGCTGAACTAGGTGTCCCTTTGTTACAGCAAGAAGCTGCATGGAATCGCTCATGTTGCCTTTCCACTACATCTTTGCCTCCTTCTACTCAGGTTACAAAATCCCAAGGAAGTCAGGCACAAAAAACTCCCCAACGATTCAAAAATTAAATGTTTTCACCTGCAAAAAAAATCCATTCAGCACACAAGCTGGAAAAGATGCTCATCCAAAGGTGAGAACTTGCAGCAACAATTCCCAGGTTCAGGGCAGAATTGCTGCTGCACTGACACAACCATAATGGGCCTCACCACACCTCAATTTATGTCTTTTACACAGATTTTTTGGGGTTTCTTTTCCCCCCTTTCAAGCATGACCTCTACTTTAAAGCATTTGGCTAGCATCCTTGGCTCAGGGATTGCCAGTCAGACACCAGATCTCACCATAACTCCCACCCCCAGCTCTACCGGGGTCCATGAGAGCTGCTGCAGAAGAGCCCTGTTCCCAACAGCTCCCAGACCAGATGTTGGATTGGAGCAAACAGCAGCTCCCCCGATGTCTGAGCAATGAAATAATACAGGAGAGGGCTGCTAAGAGGGGCACTTGGCAAATATTCTGTGCTTTCATATCCAGGAAGACTTCCATTTATCAGCCCCAGATGAGTGATTAAGGAGCATTTCAGTTCCTGGAACAATCCAAATGGAAGCCATGGCGCTCATCTCCTCTCCATCCCCCTGGTACCCTAACCAGCCTGCAGCTCTCCCTAGATCCATTCCTTCCCTGCTTCCAGCTCGCTCTGTCGAGCACACACACACACTCTCCTGGCATGGTACCTGTCTTGGGGTCCTCCCAGAGGGCAGAGATCTTGGCGACGTAGGGCATGGATTTCTTGCGGGGCCCCGATTTGAGGAGCACGGTGTCCCGCACGCGGATGATCTCCCCGTCCCTCTCCACAGCCTGGTAGCTCTTGCGCACGGCCGGCTCCGGCTCGTTCTGCACACACAGGAACCAAAACAACCCAGTCAACGGGCAAAGGGCGACTTCGTGGTTCTCCTCCATAGTGCTGGCAGTGAGGAGCAGCTCACCAGGGGGACAGCACATTTCAAAAAAGCCCTAATTGCTGAAATTAATAATCTGATTTCAAATTAAAACACACTCGCTCCTTCCATTCTGCACGCAAAACCACAATCTTCAAGAAAATCACCTTTCCACCCGCCTGCCTGGAGGCCTCCTTTTTCTTCCCATTCAAAGGCACCGAAAACTGTGTTTCTCTGATACAAACATGGTAAAAACCCAATAAAACATGAAATATTTGACAAAAGCAGGGCAAGGAGTGGCAGGGAGGCCGTGGCACAAAGCCTTCCTTAGCAGCACTGCCAATAACTCCTTTGTACCCTCTGACAGTACAAAATAATCACTTTTGGGAATATGAACCAGGCGTTTTTAGTTTGCTTTTGCTCTGAGTTTCATTTCAGAACGCCTGAGCAGGATGGTTTAACCTCCTGCCAGATCTCCCAGGCAGGATTGGAAGCATCTTAAGGAGATTAACGCCTCGCTGCTCCTTTGGGGTGTGACAGCCTGAGGGATGGATGCACAAGGCCAGTCCCTGGCCTTGACAGGCTTCATTCTGGCACAGTCCTTGGCACTTGGACACAGTCCCAAAAGCTAAAGCTCCAAAACCTGCCCTGGCTGCTGCTCTCAGCAGCCCGAGGTTGTGCCACCACACCAAGCAGCAGCACAGATCCTGCCTGGCCCTCCTTCCTCCTGACATCTACTGTACATCAGTGCCTTGTCCCACCTTCCCAGACACCCCGTGGGGCCCATTTCAAGCTCTTATGCCTTAATAAGATGAAGGATATTGCCTTCTCTCGCAATTGAAGTGGACTTGACTGGACCTAATTGAATTCTCTGGCAGGAAATCTCCCATCTTACAGGAACCAGTCTCTGCCCCTGCATGCAACAAATGGGAAAGTACAGACAGGAAATCCCTGGAGAAGCAACTGGCCGTGCCACCATGCAAGTTACAAGAAAGGGGATTTTAGGTGCTAGAAAAATTCCACCCGGGAGCCCGTATACTGTCTCAGTCCTCTGCATGCTGGGAGATCCTTGTAGGGCCACAGATATTGTGAGAGCCACCTTATGAGAGCTGCCTCTAGACGTGCCCCTTATAATTGAGGCTACAAAAACCCTCAGCTTCTCAGACAGGTTTGCCCTACTCAGGAGAAAGCAGCTGGAGGATGATCCCAGTAGGATGGACTCCCATGTGCCTCAGGTGCCACCCTTGTACATGCCGGAGCTGGGAGGATCCGTCACCTTTGAGCTGAGGCCAGCACAGGAGCAGCAGGTTCTCCTCCCCTCCCAAACCACACCGTGCAAGGTAACACCAGGACACACAACAGGGAACAGAGCCAGCAGAGCCTCTGCTCCCATCAGAATTTCACCGGGAGGTTCCACACAGCACTAGTGACCATCTCCAGCTGGAGAGGACCCCACAACTCCCAAGCCTTCACACCTGCAAGTTGACAGGCAGCTGTCCCCACCCAGCCCCAGCACTCAGACACCTACCACGACGTAGACAGCCTTCTCACAGGCTGTGCCCACGGGGATCCAGCCGTTGGTGGCTCTGCGCCGGCTGATCCGCTGCTGCTTGGGGTGGGAATGGCCCCCCGCCGCTTTGCTGTTGGAGGCGTGCAGGCAGCCCGGAGTATTCCGCAGCCCGGACTTGGAGCCGCTGGGAGGCTTGGAGCTCTGAGGACATTCCCGGGCCATGGTCTGAGGGTCAGAGTTGGGGGTCTGCAGGTGAGGAACGGGCTCTGCAGCCGGCGGCACGCTGGGCACAGGACATCCTGAGAGCGGGTGGGCAGGCGACGCGGGGTGTCCTGCCACCGGGATTGTGAGGTTCAGCTGGTCCAGAGACTTGCAGCCTTCTAAGGGAAGGGAAGAAATGAGTCTGGGATCTCATCTGGAACATAAAGCAACTACACAGCCGGGACTGTCCCACACCGTGGCCGCTTTTGCCCGAAATCCCCTTTATTGCATTATAGCTGTTAAAACTCTCCAGGCTGTGATTTTCATTTTGCACTGTCACTGGATTGTAAAAGCAAAGCCATTTCCGAGCTTGCGTGTTCCAGTGCTCCGCAGATGACACTGCACCAAACAAACCCATCTGAATCCCAAGTAATGCCAGCCAGGAATACACACAAGGCTGGCCAGTGTCCAAAGCAGTTCCAGCCTGTCAATATGTATAAAAGAAATAAAAGGCTTATAGAAACAATGAGAAGGATTAAATCACACTGCCGAAAGCAGCCAGCTTCTTTCAAAAAGCCAAATTCTACTAATCAGGGAAAATTGAGAGGATTCTCCAAATTAAGTCCAGAAAGATGAAACAAGGTGGAACACAACCACAAGATGCTGCATTCTCAGCAAATCTGTGTCCCTGAAGCAGACACAGGAACCTCAGCAGGTTGGAATTTGGCTGACGCTGCCTCTCAGAGCATCCCAGAAATACATTGTTCTGCTCAGGAGTCACAAACAAGTCCCAACCCAGGCCGATGGAAGAACCAGTTGTAATTATGCCCTATCAGCAGGAAAAGAGCTCCTGGACCAAGACATCATGCACCCCTGTTCCCTGAAAGGGAGACTGTGCTTCTTGGGGTTTCCAAAGCACAGGTCCAGTCAAGCTCCAGGAGATGCCTCAAACCAGAGCTTACAAATCTGAAGGGAAAATTCCACCCAAAGCCACACAGCTCCAGCCAAAGAACTGCTGGGACTCCTGCCTCCCCACCTTACCCTCCCTAAGGGCTGCAGCCAAGCCACTGTGGAGTTGTGAGTGCAAGGGATGCCCCAGATCATCCTCATCAATCAATCAATCAATCAATCAAATCAACCCCAAGTAGCAAACACCACAGAAACCCCCGAGAGTGCCTGGACATCAGGATGCAGGCACTGGTAGGCCAGGACACATGGAGCAAGGAATCACCTCTCAGGTATTTTGCTTACAAAAGCAGCTTTTAAGCTTGAGTTAGAGCAGGACAAAGCTTCACAAAAATCTCTACTGAATGTCAGAGCCGTGGTGCAGAACTGCTCTTGCTGGCACCCCTGGGATTCCTTCCTTGGTCACACACACTTCCAGCCTCTCCAACAGCACTGGCACTAAAGCAGCTCTCACAGCCTGTCCCAGCTCCTTTCCACCACTCTGCTTCCACAATGCCCAACCACAGCCCAGTCCCTGGATTTGTACCACACAGACACTGATATTTCAAACACCTGGAAGACACCAAATCAGAGAGATGTAACACACAGTATTCGACATGTCAGGCTGGATCCCTCTCTGATGGGAGCCTGCTGCTTGCAACCAATGTGCTCCTTCAGTTCACTAAAATGCCCCACTCTAGGGAAGGAAAATATTTCAGAGGTGCATAATTATATAAAAATCAATCCCTAAGCCTAAGGCCCCATCAATATTCTCTGAGACCTCCTTATATTCTTCGATCCACAAACCAAAATCTCAATGATTCTGCTGTTATAGGTTTTTAAATCCAAGCTCCCAGCAAGGAAATCACAGCAAGGGAGAGCTCAGTAGTGGGGTGACACACTAGCAAATACTCACTCCTGGAACTGCTGCTGCCCTTGCCAGCACCAGGAGAAATCACTGAATCCACAGGGAGGGCTGAGCTCTGGAAAATATTCTGTCTGCACTGCCTGCATCCTTCTGGCTGCACTAGCCGGCAAAAGCTGAGGAACAAAGTAGACTGGTATGACCTCGGGGCACTACACAGAAACTGTCAGGCACGAACACACTGCTGAGCTGGTTGTCTTGTGAGCATTCCCCTTTCAAGAGCTCTGAAGCCACCAGCAAGCCCTGTCTGGCTGCTGCCGTAGGAAGCAGCACCATGACAGCGGGGATATTTCGGGAAAACAGAAATTACACTTCAACCAAACGCTCCTGAGTTTCAGCAGCTTCCTACAACGGAAGATGACAAAGCCTCGCTTGAACCAAAACTCCATCCACCTACCTGAAAATCTGTTCTCAGAGGGTAAGTCATGCCAGCTCTTGGCTGGAACACGTGGTTAGTGGAAAGATCCCACACTGGCACTGCCAGCAGCTGGAGAGCAGCCTCCTCTGCAGACTGACTGTTTGCAGCACTGTCCAGCCTGGTGTCACACACAGTACTGGTGTCTGATAACCCCCACACAGCACTCCACTTTTAAATATTTAAAAAGGTATTTTTCAATGGCAGAGGCAAAGCTCCAAGATAAAGCAGGAAGTCTGAAAAGCAGGCGGGGACAGAGGAGAGCCAGGCAGGTAATGACGCTTCCATACCCCCTCACCCCTCCTCATTCCAGCGCTTCATTGTCAGACACAGAGAGCAAAGATGAGCTCAAGAATTCCCAAACTAACAGCGTGCCTGGCACTTAGACCACCACAGCAAAACTCCCTATGCAGCCCTGCCAGCTCTGATCTATCCATGGAATCCAAAAAGCCTGCAGCCCCCACGCTGGCACCACTAGAGCCTAACAGCAGAGGCAATGCCTGCTTCTCCACAGGCTCTGTGAGGATGCCTCAGCCCCCAGAGAGAGGCTTTGGGATGGGAGGAGTAACTCATCCCGGTGTGCTCCCGACCCTCCGCTCAGAGTGGCACAGCGGGATGGCGTGCAGGAACTGAACCCTGCTCGTTTTACACAGATCAAAGCTCAGCCTTAGCTCCAGCGTGACAAAGCGTGAGTCAACTTCTCGCTGCCAAAATGCTTTCACCGATTCTCTGCTTTCCGCACCAACAAGACCTTTCAGTGGGAAAAACCCTCCGGGCAAAAAACGGGGAAAGGGGAGGTGGAAGGCGGATCCCTTCCAAGCCGCAGCTCGGCTGTGGAGCTGAGAACTGCTCGCAGAGGGAACCAGCCTCCAGGCAAGCAGGCACCGCGCCGAGCCACCCTCTTCTCCCAGGAACGCCGGCCGGGATTTGCGTGCACTTTGCAACTTACCTGCTGCAAAAGGCATTTTGTAGGGGTAGCTGTTCCGTCCCGCATGCACGCTGCCGATCCTGCCCTCCGGCAGGTGCAGCACGCCGCAGACGCTGTAGCTGCTCACGGCTGCTCCCTCCCCGCAGCAGTACGGAGAGCTGCACCAGTGCAGGGGCTGGAAATGAGCACCTGATGGCAAGGAACCGGAAGATACCAGGAGCCCCTCGCAGGTCGCAGCCTGCGACAGCTCGTCCTTGGGATAAATGGAGCAGGGGGAATAGCCACTGTATCCACTTTGGCCATAATAAACATAAAACCCGTTCAACGGAGTCAGATCTGAGGATTCATAGAGACATCCACAATCCGCGTGATTCCCGGGCACAGGCAAGGGAGGGAACTGCTGCACGGGAAAGGAAGGCTGATGAAATTCCTGTTTGGGGGTTGGGGATTTCTCTCCAGGTCTTCCATACTCCGGCTTCATGGAAGCTTGTCCTCCCATGAGCAAAGGCAGTCTGTGGTAGAAGCCCTCTGTGCTGGCATAGGAGCCAGACAGCGACTCGCAGGGGACAGGCTCTGTCGTCCCGTAGAGCCTGGAAGAGTCCCGCTGCTCCCCTTTCCCAAGCGTGCCCAGGGTCTGGCCTTGCCAGCCGTGCTGCCCATCCATTTTTAAGCTAGACACTTCCTTCTTGGTTTTGACACAGTTCTTCCGTCCGGCTTTGGGCCATTTGAGTGTAGATTTTGAACAGTGGTTCTCGGACTTGCCCTCTCCGTCCGATTTACTCCTCTGTTTCAGGGGTTGGTCTTTCTCGTGGGTCAGCTTCAGGAAGGCCACGGCATTCAGACTGGCCAGTCTCTTTGGGGTGGGATGGTAGGAGATGGCACCATCCTCCCTCTTTGTCCCATCATCAAAGACCTCATCCAGCGAATGCTCACAGCTATTGCATTTCTGACCGGGCTCATGCCGGTTCTTTCCTTTCCCTGTTTTCACAGCCGTTTTTTCCAGGGCAGGCCAGTTGTCACTGGCTTTGCCTTGCAAGCCCTTGAGGGCACAGTCCCCAGCAGCCTTCCCAGAGTCCCTGCGGAAGCGCCTGCCGGATAACAAGCCATCGTCCCGTTCGAACAGCAGGTTGTTCACCGCCTCGGCGTTCAGCGAGGCCAGCCGGCGCTTCCTGGGCTCCGAGGGAGCAGGATCAAAGTCCTGCTCCGGCCCGGGATAAGTTACTGTGCACTTCTCCCCGGATGAGTCACTCTTGCCCGCTCCCACAGGCTGAACTTGTTCTGAGAACAAAGCAGATCCCAAACCCTCAACCCAGCTGGGAAGGTGCTTTTTTTTACAGCTCGGGGTCTGTTTGGACAGAGAGCCAGCCACGTCCTCCAGCCTGGTGAGGAGGACCTTGCAGGTCTTTTTGCTCACCGAGGGGAGCAGCCGCCTCCGCAGCGGGTACGTCTTTCGCACTTCACGCAAACTCTTGCTTTTGTTATTCCCTACAAACCCACTGGGACAGTTTGGAGCCTCCGAGGCATCTCCGTCCCGCTGCTCTGCGTTGGCCCTGTCCATCCTCCTGCTGCCTGTTGGCGACGAGGCCTGGCCAGCAGAACCAGCTGGGTGTTTCAGAAGGAAAAGTTGTTTTTTCCGGGCATGCGTCATAGGATCAATGTCCAATCCTGGGAACGAACGGGAGAAAACATCTATTAATATCGCTGAGAGGGTCCCATCTCCTCACAAAGCACCAACTGCCAATTAGGAAATATTTGGGGAAGCTTGTTTCTATACAGCAGAGTCTATTTGGGTGATGGCCAGTTAAGCCAATTAAGAGACAGGATGCAATTAGATGTGGTTTAATATTAAGCCATAGAACACGACAGTAATTAAAAGCAAGGTGGTGATGGCAAATGCCACAGCAGCTGGGGAAAGCTGGGTCCGGACAGAGCTGTCCACCCAGCTCCCTCTTCCACTGATGCTGTTCCTAACACCTTACAAATTCCCATCAAATCTCCAAAATCTGAAGGCTGGTCCAGGGCACAGAGCAGAAATAACCCCCAGCCTGTGACTGCCTGCATGTTGATACAGGCAGGCTGTTCCAGTTTCATTTTCTGAGACAATTAGGCAAAAGAAAAACAAAAAGTCCACCTACTCAGGTGAAAAGAAAACTTGGGCTATTAAGCAGAGACCTGCCAACATTAATAAACTAAATACATGCAAATCACTGTGCAGGTTGGAACCTGGCTGCCCACTGCTCTTGTCATTCCCTGTAGTTGTGTTTTATAAAAGTTGTGGGCATTGAACACCAAATGACAATGGGCAGAGAGGCCCCAAAGATACATTCGTGGCAGGAAAAAGAAGCCTGGGCTTCCCGAGTTATCCAGCATCCAATTTTTAATTAAGAAATTCTGCAGTCTACAGCTTGTAGGTCCAAGGCTGAGACAGAATATGGCTGGGTGATACATTAAAAATGTCAGTGTAAATGAGTGATAGTGGAATAGATTTAATGAAGTCTGTCTCTGAGCACCAGAAACAGCAGCAAAGGACAATTACTTTCATTCAATGGTATTTACAAAATGGTCAAATTCCATTTATTGGCAGCAAAGAGCTGATCTTTTTATCAGCATCCACCTAGGATGGGTTTGCTCTTCCCTGCAATCAGGATTCGGGCTGTAACTCCCCTCAATTGACACTGGTCTGCCACTTCTGAGGCTTTTAATTAAAGCTCCTACTGCTTTGGCAGTGATTAGAACAAAGCTCCCGAATTACAAGAACTGTTCATTTGATATGGTTTAATCAAGCTGATAATTAGATTATCTATTTGAAATAAGCCCAATGTGTTTTAATTGCCTTACTTATATATGCATTAACTAAGGGAAGTTCAGGAATTAAAACCCGCTGGGGTTTGCATGGTGCTTTTCTAGATGTCATCCTCTTGGCAATGTGTTTTTGGGGTGACTGAGTGCCTCCACCCCGTTAAACAGGGTAGATCCCATGGCTGGATGCCCCAGGAGGAGAGCTTGGTGGGGAACAAACACTTAGATATATGTCTACATTTTTCTTATTAGAAAATTGGGCTCTGGGAATTAGGAGGATCAAGTCAGACAGAATTTTCTTCAGAACTGAATTATTCTTGCACAAAAGGCTAAACTGACCACATGCAACCTCTGGAGTTTGGAAGAGGACTACAATTTAAAAAAATGGATCAGGCAGAGCAGGATTTGGCAGAGGCAGAACAGGTATCCTGCAGAACATGTCCTGGGGAGGACAACTCTTCCCAGGCTATATGGACCAGTGATTTCTTTGCAACTTTCATCCTATTTTTTACTGTCCCTACTGAGAGACTGAGCCTCTGGCAGAGGTGAAAATCCCCAAATAAAAAGCCATGGTTTGCCTTAAACCCAGCACGGCACCTTGCTCTTCTCAGGTTTCCACAGGCAGGAGCCTGACCCAGCCTACACCACACATCCTGGGGGATTTGTGCTCACATGAGCTGGAGTAACAGCTAAAAACTAGGTGCTGTAGCTGGGACTGTTCATGCCATAGATACTCTGAAGTTAGGAAAAGGCTGGGAGAGACTGAGGGAAGGGTGTGTAAGAGAACTAGGATTGCTCAGCCTGTAGAAGCTTTGAGGTGACCTAATTGTCCATTCCAGCAGCTGAAGGGGCCTACAGGAAAGTTGGAGAAGGGCTTTCAACAAAGGCCTGGAGTGACAGGACAAGGAGGAATGGCTCCACCCTGACAGAGAGCTGGGTTCAATGGCACATTAGGAATAAACTCCCTGTGAGGGTGGTGAGACCCTGACACAGGTTGCCCAAAGAGGCTGTGGCTGCCTCATCCCTGTCAGGGTCCAAGGCTAAGTTGGATGGGGCTTGGAGCAACCTTGGATAGTGGAAGGTGTCCCTGCCCTTGGCAGGGGGTGGAACTGTTTGAGCCTTAAGATCCCTTCCAAGCCAATCCATTCCAGGATTCTATGATTCAGTGCCAGCACCAATGGAACAAAACCTATCCTCAGTATGGACTACTCAGAGGTTTTTCCACGCCTCTGCAATCACCTGCACTGCACGGATTGCTTTGTGAGGGGGATGCTCCTGCTCCCAGCTCACCTGGGATAAAGCAATCCCTCCTCTTCCTTCAGCACAACACAGAGACAGAGCTTTTGAACGCAGCTCAAACTCAGCCCTCTGACAGGCAAAAGCATCATTCCTCAAAATTAGAGTCCTGCCGAGCTTCCTTCCAGAGAGTATTGTGCTCCTGCCAGCTGGGAAGGGAGAGTGGCAGAGCTCTTCATCCTCTCTCCACTTTTGTATTGCTTCACAAAGCACAGAAAAGCTGCCTGTGCCCAGAAGTCTCCAAGAAGGTGCGAGACAACGTGAAGAACTGAAAGATACTTAAATCAGAACCACCCCTTTACTGCTCGTGCCTGAGGAACTGGATTAATGGTGAGAAGACATTGAGGTGTTGGAAATTAAAAGCTCCAAGCAGCTCAGTCTATCCAGCTGCATCCAGAGTTCACCAAGCACTTCAAAGCTAGTTAGAATTGCTGCCTCCTTATCATACAATCACAGAATGGTTTGGACTGGAAGGGACCTTAAAGCTCATCCCATTCCAACTCCCCGCCATGGGCAGGGACATCTTCCCCTGGCTCAAGCTGCTCCAAACCCCATCCAATCTGGCCTTGAACACTTCCAGGGATGGAGCAGCCACAGCTTCTCTGGGCAGCTCATTCCTCAAATCAGACTAGTTCTGAAAAACCATCTTTCCAGCTGCAGAACCCAAACCAGATCAGAATAAAAAAAATTAAACCCACTTCTAGTTTCGTGCTAGAATAAAACCATTACCCAAACAGCAAACTCAGGAGAGAGTTGATGCCTCATTAGCAGGAAAAGAAGCAAGTGGGATAACAGCTGCATGTTCTGTAATCATGCAGCTGTAGCATCTGTCTCTCTCTCTCCAGCACTTGATTGCAAGTGAAATTAGAAGGAACTAGTCTGGGACTACCCCTTCAAGCCCCATTTCCTCTCCAGAGCTTCACTACGGAGACGCGCGCGTTCCAAGAGACGATGCCAAAAGCACAGAAATTGAAGCTTTTAAAGCTCCTAATCCATTTGGCACTTCAATAACACACAAAGAGTTACGACAACACCAATCCTCCTCTCCACGCACGGCACCGCTCCGATGACTCTCAGCCCCAACTACTTGAATCCTGTCTATCCATTTCCATTGGAACAGCTTCTGCTGTGACAACAGCCCTACAACTGTGAGTATCTGGAGGATTGGCTCCTTTCTCCCTGCTGCTTTTGCAGGCGAGTAATTCCCAGTGCTCTGAGAAACGTGCTGCATGCAAGAAGCCTTGCAGGAGCTTTGGGAAATCCGGATAAATCGCAGCAGCATCAGGTATCCCAGGCTGAGTTCCTTGATTGACATGCTCGTCCTGTGAGTGGAAACATCGCCTCCCTCTCAAACATTCAGGAAATCTGTAGCTGTTGGAAGCTACAATTTGTCTTCTCAGGGTCCAGTCCTGATTTTTCTCCTGAGATCCATTGAAAGCTCCATCATTCACATGCTCTGGAGGAAACTGTTTATACAGAGCTCATTAGGCTGCAGCAAGGGCTGGCTTCTCTCACTCATCAGCATAGCTCTGACCATTGTACCAGAGCAGGGTTAAGTGGAAGGGGTCCCTGGCCATGACAGGGGGATGGATCTTTAAGATCCCTTCCAATTCAGACCATTCCAGGATTCTATGATTCACTGCCAGCAGCTCCTGAAAAGACATGTGGACACGAAGCCTCCACAGCTTCCAAAAGACTCATAAAAAGGGATGTGGGGCAACTCTGGCACAGCCGAGAGGATCTCTGGGAGCTGTCCCGGACCAGGCTCTGCTTCACTCCCTGCTCCAACGCCCGTAATTATCCCCCCATTGCGAAAGCCTGTGTGTGCTCCAGCCACCCGGCTGGGAGTTCTGCAGCCCGTGTGTGGCCGTGATAAATCACAGACAACTGCAATGAGAGCCCGGGGCTTCACACCCCGAGTGCCAAATGTGTCCGACAGCAGCGGCACAGGGAGCGGATCCGGCTGGGCGCAGGCCTGACCCGCGCTGCCCGGAGCCAGAGCTGGGAACACCCCCGAGCAGCTCCCCGGCTGATTCCTTGGGAAGGTCTGGCTCAGCCTCAGTTATCTGGTTTCACATCTTGCCTAGTGGCAGTGCTCTGTCTGGGGAAGCCAAAATTACATTTCTCTGGCTGTTCTCACACTCTTCGCAGCCTCAGCAAGCAGCATTCTCAGGGAAGAGGAAAGGGGAAAAAATAGGGGAAAAAGAAAAGGGGGGGAAAAGAAGAGGGGGATAAAAAGAAGAGGGAAAGAAATGGGGAGTGAAAAAGTGGGGGGAAAATGGAAAAAGTGTGGGGAAATGGGGTGGGAAAAGAGGGGAGGAAATAAGGGGACAAGTGGGAAAACACCAGTGGAAATGAACAATGTAGAAGCATAGGGAAGAGTCACAGGATATTTCCTTAAAATCCACAACAGGGCAGGTTTGGGCAATTAACGCAACCACGGGAAAAGCACGTTCCTTCTCAAAGGCACCAGCTTTCCTTTCCCTTTTACTGGTGGTAAGAAGCTGTAACACCGTGTCAGCGACAGGCTGCCACCCAGCAAAATAGGCAGGAAATGACGAAGTGAAAAA